AAAGGTTACGCCTCGCATGCGGACATCGGCCATCGCGCTGGGTCAAGTGACTGGGCGGCAAAAATTGTCCGCCCGCGAGGCCACGTCTGTGGCGTCTCTCGTTTGGAGGATTTAGACTGCGGAACCGCTACAAGTGTTCAGAACATTCATTCGGCCGATTTATGTAAATTGCGTCCAGGCGTGGTGCCCTGGATGAGATGATATCACGCAATACTGGAGAAATTTCAACAAAGGGCCACTAGATTAGTCAGCAGATTAGGGGGTCAACCATTTGAAAGTCGGCCAGAAAGGCTTTCGAAAAGATGGCTGATGTCTTTGAATTGGCACGAACGACATATCTCCGGGTTCCTCTATACAAACTAAAAACATCATACCAAGCTAGAAGTGCGGACCAAATTCTTGTCCCACCGGTTTATTGAAGCCTACAACAAATTTACTTTGCTTGCTGATCAGACCTTTGACAAGCAACAACGATTTATATAATGTACATACATGGCTTTGAAGCATATGCAGGATTTGAAAGAATCTATCTGTAAATAGGGTTTTCGAAGGCTCCGCCTATCTCACTTATGCTGAATAAACGTATTCAAGTTAAAGGATTTTTCAATGAAGTGACATCAGTTTGTGATGTCAGTGATAAAACTCATACCTGTTTACTTATTTATACATCCAAGTGCTGGCAGTGCTAAATTTCCTGGACTTTATTACGAGCTGAACCACTAAGACTGCAATACCCCAGCCTTTGGAAGACTGCGTATGGGCCATAGTGTGTGAAAAATTGCAAAAATGGTTATCGAAAACAAAGAATATGGCCAACGGCCGGTCCATCGCTACATTGAAGGGCAGAGTTGCAGTTCTTCCGTGGTATGACGCCCTTAGTCTTAAATAAAACAGAAGAAGGTATTTCGGTAAGTAACCATTGGTTTAGTACAATACATGCTTGAAGGATCCATATAAACATAATCTATCTGCATTTTACTTTGAATAGCACAAACGAAAGGTAAACCATGCATAAATTAAGTCGTCTGAGCGAAGAAGTTTGGATCACTTTCAGTCAAGGTTCACGGGTGGGCTTCATGTTTTTCTTTTGCACTCGAGCGTACGGTATTTGAAGACATTATTAAATGCCGTCTCGAGATACAGTTTGTCGGATTTGTGGCCGCTTCTATCTGCGGATGACTCAGGATACGGTAGCATTGCCTATGATTAAGGATGCTCGACCGAATACGAAACGTCAGGACAATAAAACTCCTTTTCCAGTAGTCGCATCTTCTTCTTCTGAACTGCTTCTTGGAAATCGCATATTCACCTATATTGGTGTTTCATATGTCAAAAAACTTTACGCTGAACACCACAACTGCATCATATACTCTTAACATATTTTGGTTGAGCGAGGCGTAGGGCGATGCACCCA